TCTCAGTCCGGCTGTAAGGTAACATACCCATTTTCGGGCCCTGAAGCCATTGTCGGCACGATGTCTGGAAGGGCCTCCTCTGCTACACGTCTGGTATGGTATTGTCCGCGGGACGCAAGACAGGAGGTTGATATCGTAGCAGAGTTGGAGTTCAGTGAGCAGCAGCAGTCGGTTGAGAACGCGCAGGCAGTGACAGCATGCGTGCGGCTCCGAAAACCTGAGAGTACCGAAGCGAGGTAGACGAGCAGGAGCCGGAAACCGTCTTGCGAAGTTTCAGTGAATCTGTTTGAGATACTTCTGTACTGAGTCTTGGCCTGGGGCTGGTGTGTTGGTGAGCGCAGTCTGATCCACACCGATTGACGGACGATACTTTGGGCAGCGCTATGGGGTCAAAGAAGGTACTTTGACGTGAGTATCAATGAATAGACAATGGCATTGTACGCCAGGGGCCGGTAAGACGTCTTAAGGTCGTGGCTTTTGGATCTAGAGAATAAGAATTGATTTAGGGAGCAACAGCGAAAGCGAGGGTGAGGTAGCGCAGCCGGAGGAACAGGGCTGGGCGACGGGCTCCCAGGTCCTGTAGGAGGGAGGATGGTACGGGTGGGCGAGCGCACGAGTAACAGACCCCAATGGAGTCGATTAGGGATCAGGCTGAAACCTGTAAACCAGGAAGAGGAGTATAGGATTGGCCTGGATTGGTCCAATAGGCGGCCCGTCCTTCACTGCAACGACGGGCGGCTACAAAAAGGTGGAAGAGATGCAGGAGGTGGTAGGAGGCGAGGAGGATGGTGCGGTGGGAGGCAAACAAATAACTGGGGGGCGTGGGAGGCACCCAGCAGGAAGGAGGAGGAGGACGATTGGGGGAGACAAGCCCTCTGCGCTGGGCATCAACACGCCTGGATGAGTCTTCTTGTGGTAGTAACTCCGGTTAAACAGCCAGGGTTACTGGGGCCGCCCAGGGACGTGGGTACCTAGCTAGGTACGATCTTCACTGAGAAGATTCAACCTCAGGGTCACTTGTCCGATGTACCCATCTGAAACACTCTCAGGAGTTGGAAATTCGCGGGACAAATGCGTTCAATCGCCTTTGATCCACGCCATCAAGCCCCAACTGCGTGCCACCTGCATGGTTAATTGCTTTTGGTTTCTACGAACAAGCCCTGCCTGTCGCGTTCCACAGCCTATCTGTCATCGGGCCCAGACAACGAATGAAAGGCCATGTACCAGGGTATCCGATGTCTCTTTGTCCTCCCTAGTCGCAAACTGAACCAGCCACCCTCTGGGCCTCCCCGCCATTACCGAGATGGATGAGTGTTTCAAAAAAGTCCCTCCACAATTTGGTCAAAGTATAAAACTAGGAGATGTCAAAGGCTTGCAGAAAGAGGAGGTCATTGGACAACAGTGACGACAGTGACTTCTTGATCGATTCGATGTCTGCGGAATGGTCCATCTGTTTCGACAAGCTGGCAGTGAATCTTGTGAAGTTGTCCTGACTGGGGGGGATTATCTTCCATCCCTGAATGATGATCAAATGGTGCGGACCGGCCCACTGGGATATCACTCCGATACAAAAGGAGAGAGCCAAAGGAGAGGTCCAAATTCCGCTAGATGGCAATTCCCCATCCGTCAAAGTCAATAGCGGATGGATTCATCGCATAGCCCTTCCGAGAATCAGGACGATGAGCATTCCATAATTATATTCATCCTCCGTACATACGAGGTACTCATTTCCCCAAGATAAGCAGCCCCAAAAGAGCGGCACTGTCATCAAGCTCGGCTGAGTCGCTTATTGATTACCAATATCAGGGGCACCAGGGGCACCAGGAACGCCAGAGTCCCAACAGTACAAAGGTTGACGAGGCTGAAACTTCTGTCGCAAGGCTGAATTGTCCTTGTTCACTTAGTTGACTATTTGAACAGCCACCCTCCCTGGTTATACTTAGTCGGAGTAGTCTGCCAGTATTGGGGAATCTGTTGGCAACGCATTAAACTTGCTCAGTCTTGTATGCCTCGAGAATCTGAATTTGTAAAGTCCTAAAGGGCGACACAAAATCAATATTGATGGTTGGTGTCTGTTCTACCCCTCGGTGCCTCCACAGCCAATGACGCAAGGCCTGGCCGTCTTCCAACTCTTTTTTTTCTCTGCGGGTAAACACCATAGGAATCGCATTTCTAAGCGGGGGGCGTCGCATTGATTCCTTATAAGCATCTGCCCTTGCAAGCTCCGAATTGCTCTTCTGTCTTTCTTTCTCCTTGTTGCTGATTCCTTTTTCCATACACACTTCTCTTAAAACAACCCCCAATCTATCAGCTCAACATGTCCCACCCTCAACCCGTGCCTCGGCCGCCCGATAATGTGGAACCTGAGGATGATGGCCTGCTCGACGCAGATGAGGCTGCGGAGGAGATACTAGACGACGACCCTGATCACCCAATGGACGATGAAGAGGACGAAGATATGGAGGGGGAAGAACAAGAAATCCAACTGCAAAACGACTCCGCCGCACACTTCGACTCCCACGCAGACAGCATATTCTGCATAGCGCAACACCCTACCAACCCATCCATCGTGATCACAGGCGGCGGCGATGACGTTGCATACCTTTTCAACGCATCCATACCTAGCACGGATCAATCCACCAGCACCCCTCAGGGTGAGAGAAAAGGCATTCAGCCACTTCAAAAGCTGGACGGGCATACCGACTCGGTCAACGCAGTGTCCTTCACATATCCCCGGGGCGAATACGTGGTAACTGCGGGTCTCGACGGAAAACTGCGCACATGGAGGACATCAGAACCCTCGGGATCCAAGAAATGGACATTCGTTGCCGAAACCGCCGAAGTAGAAGAGATCAACTGGGTTGCACCATGTCCCAACAAGGATCATGAGAATGCAATAGCCCTTGGCGCCAATGATGGTTCAGTTTGGGTCTATCAGATCAACGCCGACGATAAAGCCAGTCCTCTCACAATCGTTCAGGCGTTTTACCTTCACACTGCATCGTGCACCGCGGGAGCGTGGACGCCAGATGGTTCACTCCTGGCGACAGTCTCAGAAGATGGCAGTCTGTATGTCTCTGACGTCTTCTCCACAGGCCAGGCAGTCGTCTCATTCACCGCCGCAGACCAACGCTTTGAGGTTGAAGGAGGTCTCTACAGCGTGGCATGCACTCCGTCTATGGTTGCCGTTGGCGGCGCAGGCGGAAACATCAAAGTCGTCGGTCTGCCACAGCCGGCCGATCAGGCAAAGAAGGCTGGGGGCTCCAAAGGCGCCGGGAAACAATCCCAGGCGTCTTCGGCAGGTCAGATCCTTGCTTCTTTGCAAGCGCAATCAGATGGCGTCGAGACCCTTTCTTTCTCCTCTCCCCCCCTCAATATCCTTGCCTCGGGAAGTGTCGATGGTTCAATAGCCCTCTTCGATACAGCTCATCGCTTTGCAGTGCGGAGACATATAAAAGAAGCGCATGAAGAGTACGCCGTCGTCAAAGTCGAATTTGTCCGAAATCCGCAAAAAGGTGGATGGCTCTTGACCACCGCGGGTATGGACGGTGTTGTCAGGAGATGGGATGTGAGGGGCGGAACGACGGCGGCAGGCCAAGGGTTCGTTCAGGAGTGGAAGGGACACAGAGGGGAGGGAGAAGGGGGCGGCATATTGGGGTTCGTACAAGGTGGCGATGGGAGCAGAATTGTCACGGCTGGTGACGACGGTGTTGCATTGGTGTTCAAGGCGGACATTGCATGAGACGATGAGACAAGTTGCTTCCTCGACCTACTTGTATCCGTGCCCAGTTGGACATCTCAATTGATACGCCAACGAGAATTACCCTTGGATCCGACTCCGAATCTCGTGTGGATGGAGACCAGAAGTCTTCACTGGATACATCACCGTCATCATGCGTTGGTCCCAAGGTTTCTCAATGCTGGAAACGCCTACGCTGATATCACCAATCACCTCGAGGCCGACAAGGTGGATCTTTCTGTCTATGTTGGTTTGAATGTCAACATGAGAATCCGGGACCAATGCTTGGGGTGCGCTATAGGGCCCGGGCGCAAGCCATGCGACAAATAGAACGCTGTTATGCCGCACGAAAGAAATTGAATTGACGAATTCTCAATAGGCTGTGAGATCTCTCCAATGCTTCACTTGTGCTGGCGCTGCAAATTCGCCCATGCGGTCCACCACTGTTTTGAAGGCTTCCGGGGCTCGATGAGGCACAGACCTATCAAGCTGCCCACCACAACCTCAACCACCAAACATCACTGCCCTCTAACTCGTCCACATACTGAGGCCACAAAACGCTGGTATACCTGTTTGTCTGACACCTGGTCGTGAGGGAATCTTGAGGCGACAGCCAGGCAACCAGAGAGGACAATAGAATTCCTTGTTGCCATCTTGGTTGCTCCTAGCGCGAGGCTGATCCATTGCAAGCATAGCATGCGGATTGCAAATGGCGGACATGATTATGAGGAAATCTCACTTTCCGAAGCATGGTGATGCAATCGCCGCATTCAGAAAGATGTTCCATGGACAAGTTGTTGTTGGGCGGATGTGCGAAGAAGAGAAAAAGCGCAGGCAAAGGTCGCTGTCTGACATCGCTGGAGGCACAAATGCATGTTCCACATGCTGAACTTTTACATTTTGGTTGGTTCTTCAATCTTGCACGGCCGTACCGGAAATTTCATCCCACGTTTATCAAATCTCACTACCAACATTGCAGGCGTGATCTATCGTGGAGATAGTGAAACCCACTGTCCGGCCAGATGGGGAGGGCGAGGGTACAAGGCACAAAGGGCAAAAAATGTCGATGAGCGAGCGGCAACCTGAAGAATACCTGTCGAAAGACATAAGGACTCGATTCCTTCCTTCATCGAGCCTTCTCCCTGTCTCTCGTCCTAACTCCTACCCGGTCACCGCCGTCGTCACAAAGGCAAGGGTCCTCCAATTTTCCCCTCCCCTTTAAAATTCCTACCCGAACACCAACACCACCAGACTGTTCAACATGTCTCCGGCACGCTTCACAAACAAAGTTGCGGGCCAACGTATCCTTTTGATGGGCGGCACTGGGGGGGTCGGCATCAGCGTTGCACAAGCACTCATTGAATTTGGGGCATCAATCATCCTCACCTCATCACGAGAGTCCAAGGTCAAGGAGGTGTGTACTCAGCTTGCCCATGACTACCCCGATGCCAAGGGACGCATCTCCGGATATCCCTGCGACTTGGCCAGTTTCACTGTCGAAGAAAATATTGAGGATCTGTTCAAGAAGGTGTGCGATGTGGACCATATTGTGTACATGGCTGGAGACAGGCTGCCCATGATCCCGCTTGAGGACATTACGATCGAAAAGTGGTATAAGTGCAGCCAAGTTCGAACCATTGCTGCGATCCTGGTTGTCAAAATCGGAGTGAGGTTCATGAAGAAGGATCGGCATTCTTCCATCGTCTTAACAGGGGGTTCTATATCCGAGAAACCAATCGCTGGAGGATGGTCGATGCTAGCACTCATTGGGGCGGGATTGAATGGCCTGACACGACAGCTGGCCTTCGATCTGGCACCCATTCGCGTCAACTGTGTCGCTCCTGGGGTTATTGAGACAGATCTTTGGCAGGGTATGGATGAGGAGAGCAAAAAGGAATTCTTTGCGAGCCACGAAAGCAAGATGCCTACCGCGAAAGTCGGACAGCCCGTGGACCTGGCTGAAGCATACCTATACTGTTTGAAAGATGCCAATGCGACGGGAATCGTGATTCACTCCAACAGCGGGACATTCTTGGTGTGAGATGGCAGACTGAATGGAATGGAAGCTTTTTAGCCAGTACCACCACATAGTGTTGAGTGCCGACAGGGACGTGATGGATGCTGACAGATGCATTGACCATGCATATTCAATACGAACATTTCAAGCGAGTCCTTTTGCCTCGTGTTTCCCTAGCCCTATTTTTGGAACTAGATTGCTACAAGTAATAGTACGAGGACGACCAGGCGTGCCGGCTAAAGTGCCATTGACTCAGCCTTGTCGGTGGCCGTATCCAGCCTTATCACGTGGAGGAGAGGGTAAGGCCTGCGCTCTGCTCTGTATCTCCTTCCAGAGATATGCCTTCCCTCTCTCCTATTTCGCACAAGTCGAACAAAGACGTTTTGGAGAAGCAATCACACATCTATATCTCTGAGAAATGAGAGCTCAAGTTCTCAACAAAAGCACCAAAGTCTACCAACGGGCGACTCAGTACCAGGGTTAATTTTGATTAGCAACCAAGAAGGGGAGAGATTTTTTAAATCTCAAGTGGACAGCCTGTCGAAGGAGGAGCGCATTCAGCGATCTCGAAGCGAGCGTATACAGCCTCCTAAACAACATCCTTTGCGCTCATTCCTGAACCTTCAAATTCTCTGGGACAAGAGGTTCCTCTTTGTTTCCACTTTGCGCCAAAAACTCCCAATCCGCAACCTACAACCCACACCTCGACAACATAACAACTATGGCTGCCCGTCCGACGCATTCTCACACGGGTGCCCTCCTGCCGGCCATCCTGATGCTCCACGGTGGCGGGTCCAACAGCACGGTGTTCAAGATCCAGTGCCGGCGGCTGATCTGGAACCTGGAGAAGCAGTTCCGGTTCGTGTTCGTGCAGGCGCCCATCGAGGGCACGCCGGGGTTCGGCATGCTGCCCGTGTTTGCGTCCTGCGCGCCCTTTTACCGCTGGGTGACCCGCAAGTTCAAGGCCGGCGAGAGCGACCAGGAGGCCACGCCGCAGGACGAGGTCGAAGCGGTAGATAGCGTCATCCTGCAGGCGATGGAGGCCAACGGCGGCGTCGACAGCTTCAAGGGCATCATTGGCTTCTCGCAAGGGGCACGCCTCGTCCCCGGCCTGCTGCTGCGCCAGAAGATCCAGGAGCGCGACGCCGGTGAAAGTCGCTGGAAATTCAAGTTCGGCGTCATGATTGGCGGCCCGTTCCCGCCCATCTCCCTCTCCGAGTCGGTCAACGTGCAAGACTACGACCTCCTCAAGCAGGTGCCGACCGTCCACGCCTGGGGCCGCGACGACCACGTCAAGCCCGGCTGCGTCGAGCTGATGAAGGCCTGCGAGAGCGACAACTGCTTCCAAATGGATTTCGAGGGTGGTCACCATCTGCCCCTCAAGGACGTCGAGGCAAAAGACCTGTGCGACCTGATCATGGCGGCGTGGTACGCGGCTGGAGGCACATACGGCGTCAGCGCCAACGAGACGTATTGATTCTTGGGGACTGGAAAGGCCAAGTTGAAGGACCCTGTGGATTGCTTCAGACGACACGATATTGTCATGATGGGAAAGCCAGCAAGAAGTCCAACAACAGTTTTCGCGATGATAGAGTATAAATTATCCAGATATTAGATCTTGACGAACATAAGCTAAGCTGCAGTGTAACTCTCAAAATGCAACATTCATGAATATCTTTCTGGATCGTCTCAGATATACTGGTTAATTCGTATCAGACACCACAAGCAGGCCATCCCATATAATATGCCAACAGTCCCTCACGACAATATCTCCTGCTTAACCTCCACCGACCATATTCCCCACAGCGCCGGCCAGTTCTGAAAACAAGATGCCCTTGAGCACGGTCTCGCCCTGGTGTTCTGCCCAGTGGCCCGCGTCGACCAGCCTGCGCTTCCACCCCTTCTTCTGTACCTCGCTCAACTCCTCCCATTTCTTCAGTGTCTCCTGCTTCACGACTTCGGCGTCCGACTGGAGAACCTCGGTCGAGATTTCACCTAGGCCCTGCTCCCGCACGATGATGGCTTTGGGGGTCTCCAGGTTGGAGTTTTCCTCGACGAGATCCTTCAGCGAATCTGTGGCCGATGACACGGCGGACGAGAGGGTCGAGGTCATTTCGTCCACGGAGCTTTTGAGCTTCTCTGTTGCGCTGTGAGCCGCGACAGGGATCTCTGACCCGACCGAACTCATCTGGTCCGCGAGAATATAGGGCCGGGCGACAAGTTCGCGCATCCGCGGTGACAGCCAATTCGGCGCCCCCAGGACTGGTGGCACAACGCCACGGATCTCGCAGAATGCCTGCATGAGGAATGCCACCAAGCCGACGACCACAAGGGCGAAGAAAACACTGAATGATGTTTGCACTGCTTCAGAACGACCTGGAGGCACGAGCACATATCGTGGAGACTTGGCTGACGGTGGGAGGAACGGACGGAGAGGGAGGTAATGGACCACAACAAATTTGTCGACGCCTACAGAAGCCAGGCGAGCGAATTGAGGCCCAGCTGTGTCGGCGGCCGCAAGACTTGGTCCGGTAAAGTTGGACAAGACAAGACGAGTGAGGGGCCCATTATGAACGCCTTTGATGAAGGTGTATGACCTGAAAACTCCCAATCCAGCCTCTCGCGAGAAGTCGAGCGCCAATATTTCTATCGAGCTATCATCCCCAGACTGTCCTGCGACGGCGATGACGAACTGCTTGTCGCCTTGTTCCGATTCTGTCAGGCTGCACACATCCAGCCCAACCGCCGCTCTAATAGACTTATTGAGTTGTTTCCGTAGGGATATGCGAGCCTGCGAAAAATCCTGACTGACTCGAAGGACCAATAGATCTGCTCCAGTCCGCGATGGGCGATTCCTAAGAAGCAGCAGATGATGAGGGGTCAGAAAGCGTAAGGCTCGAAATTTAGGTCTTTGTGAGGGGGGCAGTGAGGTGGAGATTTCAGCGGCGCGGAAGAGAGACGTTGGCGCATCAGGCTTGGATGAGCCAGAGAGCTGCTGCAAAAACACTTCATCATCTGTGCAATATGCGAGCAGATAGTCACCCTTCTCGTCGTCTTCGACTGCAAGATCCACGTCCCCTGCCTCACGGTTACCAAGCTCGATGCGAGAAACCACATCATCTGAGCCGGGTTTTGAGTTCGGGCGAAACACAATGACTTCATTGGTAGGAGCGAGTCCAGACGCGATAGCTGCGAGCCGAGGTTTGCCAGGCTTTTTGGTGGGTGAAAACCGTAAGACTCTTTGATATGTCTCGTTCTTGGTGGTGGTTGCAGATTTGAAAAGCGCCGTCCGACCTAGTGGCTGTGAAGCCGGTGTAGAGACCGAAGGCTTCTCCGCGTCTTCGTCGACCGCACTGCCATCTGCCCTCCTTTTCCTTGCGGGCAACCCAATCTTGAAGGACCTCAGGTGTTCGTTTTTCCCCGCGTTCTGGTCGGCGACAGAGCTGTTGATGCCAGCAAAGGCTGTGAGTGCCGTTGGAGATGACTCGGCAACAGCCAGGCTTGTAACGGAGTCTTCATCGCTCGGGAGTTGAATGTCAATAACCTCTTTCAGCTGTTTCCTTTGCGACGTATCGAGTAGGGAGATTTTGTTGGGGACGCCAGTAGATGAAGAGCCTCCGCCTCCACCAACGAGTAGAAAATCCGGGTTGAGAGGGTCAAAGTCGGCAGCGTAGAGCGGGTAAGACAATTGTGTCCTGGAAGAGGACACCGTAGGCGCCATCTCAGGGATGGAGAGGCAGAGTTCGAAGGTTACGGTGATGCGGTGTAGACGAGGAGGGTGACAGGCGGAGGCAAAGGTGTTCGAGAAGGATTATAGAACCGACGATTATATTTCTGCTCACAGAGTTGGTGGACGGTCTATCACAGAAAGACCAGCAGCTCGCAGCTGGTATGAACAAGTTGCTCTTCCAAGTTCCAAATTCACCGATTCCAAGATGGACGTCAGTACCTTCGCTTATCGATAAGCTTAGCACGAACTCTAACATAGCGCGTCGACTGCGCCGCACGTGATCGCAGGCTCCATATCAAATCGAATTTCATGAAGTCCGACCACCTCCCTTACTATTTACCAACGCTCGACTGTTGCAGCTACACACCACTACATCTACTAATACCGGCACTGTCAGCAGCCCTTATACTCCCAGTCATGCGCAGGAGATCGACATATGTCACTCACCCGAGTCGCGCTGTCAACCCAGATGACATTCAAGTTCGCCAAAATCAGCTTCTGCTGGGAGCATTGAAAGCAGCACGGGAAGAACGCTTGACTTTGGGTCTCGAGGAATTGCCAGCCGAGATAGCCGACTACTTGCGAGAATGCCATGAACTCCATGTCCGTTGGGCACCAGAACTTCCCTACAATACAACAGCCCCGTTTTTGTCAAGGATCTCCCCTGGTCTACACGTCCAATACACCCCTTTGCACGAAGATCAGGATGATCGACTTTGTGATCTCCTGCACAAAGTTTTCGGGAAGCAGCTTCGATGCGAATCTGCCGGCACCACCTTCATCAGTCCTCCTCTAATCTCCGAGCGCTTTGCTCAGACTTCTAGTCTACAATACTATTCTCTTCTCCCGTCGATCAAGCATCTCGTTGCTTACATATACCATTCTGCTTGCACGCCGAATGACTTGCAGTGTTTGCACACGGCGTCGCTTCTGAACATTGCTGATGCTGTGGACTTTGATTATGACAGCATTTCCCATGCTCTCACCTTGACCGTTTTCTGGTCCAAACAGCCTGCTGTATTCTACGACCCAATAGGCGACTTCACGACGCTTGATGCGTGGAACCTCGATGTGCAATCCAGAAAGGACGACAGGGTGGAGGTGGGCATTCTCAGCGCGTCACCACCGCCCGAGCCCTCGGACCTTCAGCTATCAGGCTTTCTTACTGTTGTGGGGGAAGATAATCATCCGAAAGCTACACTTTTCAGCTTTCCCTCGCGGCATCATACCTTTGGTCCAGATCAAGCAAAGTTCCAGAGATATTCTGTTTCATTTGATGAGCCTACAGGACTGCATCCGACCTTACGAATCTCTTTCCCTTCGGCAGTCTCATTGACCGAGCCTAAGAACAAGCCTCCTGGAAGCGTTTGTGCATTACAGACCTATTTAACTCTTCCTTCGCATATATTTGCCGACAAATATGCCTTTCTCAGCAATGATCCGCTTTTTCAAAAGCTCCATCATGTCGGTCAATTGCATTCTATTGCTGGTGAGACAGATCTAGAGGCTCCAAATTATGTCGTCAGCAAATGGGGTTCGACGATGCTGCTCGAAATCCAGACACCCAATGGAAGCGTTGGAGAACCTAAAGCTGCTAGTGGTTCGTGGGATGTGACCATACCATTACACCTACGGTATCTGGAACCGAAGAATGGCAGCTCGTCGGAAGTCGAAATACCTTGGCCTGCTGTCTTCTGGGCCTGCACCGCTGACGATGGTACCAAGTTCCCCGTAAATCCGTTCGATAGAATTCATCTTGGCTTCGAAGGATTGTTCGGCTCCAGAACAATGTTCTATCACCTTGACCCAGCCACGGCCGAGGGTGCAGCTCCAGCAAGACTGGTAGAGTGCATTTCCGTGCCAGTCTTGGACCTCAATGCTGCAAGTCCTTCCACAATTGAATCCCTAACCATTATCACGATCGCACTTGGATTTTTGTGGGTGCTACTAAAGCTGAAGCCCTGGTCCACGGCACGGTCCACCCGGGACAAACAGGCACCGGGAATCAAGAAGATGCAATGACAAGTTACTTGGCACTCCTCTGGATACGCTCAGAACTGAACAGAATCGCAGTGTATATCATGGCGAAAACCGATCAAGCACCGTTTCATGTATGATGTGGCTGTTTCGCCACAGGACTCACCAGGTACGGTTTGCAATAGTATGCGAGTGCAAAGTGATGGTCAACTCGACAATGGGAATGTGCCTCTCTGGGACGTTACCTGGCAAGCCACTGTGAGATCTTCTTCAGCAAAGATATTGCTCAAGCACTAGTCTCCTACGACAGTGATAGTAACGGCATGATTGCATCCAACTTTACAACTGGCGGTGCAACCTGATCATGATCACGGGCCACGAAGTGGTTTAAGCGATTTGCAGGCTCATGATCACGATTTTGTGGACAGGCATTGCCACTACACCAGCATGTCCACTGGCAGCAGACTTGAAGACAAGTCTGACAAATGACTTCGTCTTGCTGTCGAACGCTTTCTTAGAACTGTCTGCATGTCAAAGAGTCTGATATCTCCCATTCCATTATTTGCGTGCAGGACTGCCCTGGGTCTCGGAGGTCTCTCAAAGCTTGCGAGTCTGAGAGGATACAGAGAGCTCGTGCTCTTCTTGGTTTCGTGGGACCCGCAGCCGAAGAGCTTGGAGCTGGATTCTTCTCGGGCGAGCCCTGGGTCAACCAGGCATGTTGGAATGTTGGGTTTCAAGGTGGACACTCGCCTTGAGTGGGAGCAACACTG